TGGGCTGGTCCAGAGGACCCTAGGCTGGAACTGACCTGAGTTCCCCTTCCATGAGGACTAGCTTTCCATGTGTGCTTCCAAAGTAGGCAGGCAGCCAACAGTCCTACCCAGATATGATGCCTATGAACCACAACAACCAGAATGGTATAATAACCATACAGATGCAGTAGTGGCACACATATCTTGGTGATAACCAATTGGTCTCTAATTGGACTCAAGACCCACTCAATAAGAGGGATACCATGACTGGTACTGGAAGCCTAGGTTACCTAACCAGTGCTAGTAAAATTGTGGCTATTGGTGGGGACTCTACAATCACTAATTTACTAAATGAGCATAATCCCTAACAATAATCTTTTGTCCTTATATGTACAATAAGTCCTCACCCCTCATCAAGGAAACCTCTCTTTACAAAAGATGGAGATCACTACAGAAAACCACAACTAAGCCATATGCAGACTTGTGGAGCCCAGTCCGAATGGATACATCTGTAAGACATTCTGACACCTCCTGCCCAATGAACCTTGTGGAAGAGGGAATGAAAAGACTGTAAGAGCCAGAGGATCAAGGACTTTGCTATGAGATTGTCTCTCCTAGTAACATCAGGAGCTATACTCATTAAAGTTTCACCAAGATGACCACCCAAATGTGAGCTGAACAAGGAGGACACCAACAGATGGGATGGGAAAAGCCCATAAGGCCTCAACCCTACACAAAGAACTATCAGCAACGGAGTAAAGCTGAGAGAGAGAGCCAGAGGGAAGAGCACACCAATTGGTTATCCAAAGCCAAATGGACAGTCCTGAAAATATACAGAGAAGGAACCCTATGCAGACTAAGCAGGTTATATTTGAGAATACATATGTACAAATACATATATACATTTAATAACAATTGATGAAAAAGGCCATGAATTTGAAGGAGAGCAGAAAGGGGTGTATGGAAGAGTTTGGAAAGAGGAAAGAGAAAGGAGAAATAATGTGATTAAAATACACTCTCAAAAATAAACAGCAACAACAAAATACTATGGACTGTGGATACCATCACCTTACCTAGCCCCTTCATGCACCTAAGTAGCTTGAAAATGTCCTAAGAGAAGAGCCAGGAGGAGGCAAGGAGATGAGAAAATAAATATAAAAATAAAGTGAGATAGTCATAAAATAGATTGTGTTATGGAGAGGTACAAATAGGTGGTAGATTAAACATGCTCAAGAGGATACACAAAAGAGAAAATATTTGTCAAATACCAATTCCACGTGTTGTTCATCAATCCCGAGCCCCAGGTTAACTCTCCAGGCTAAGTCCACCAGCCAGGCTGAGTCAATGGATCTAAGCAACCAGCCTTACCTGCCAGATGTCTGAAGCCAGCCTCCCTTAGAAAGCAGCAGCAGGTGTTTCTCTAAATCCTTTCGTTTTGGTTTGCTAACAGGTGGCAAAGGGACAATACCCAGCTGGCTGCAAAGACATGGCCGGGGCAACAGGATGCCTTCAGAGTGCCAAGCCAGCACCAATGCCAAGATGAGGCCAGCATCTCTCTACTAACAGGCTCAGAACAATGACAGTATCAAGTATACATGACTTCAAAGTAGAGTTCTATACAAAATCAACTGAATACAGAGTACCTAATGTTGGCTTATTATATTCATAAGCGCTGGTTTAAGCTTGGAAACCATTCTTCAGTGGGGCAGTACCACTATCCTCAGCTTCCAGGTCATTCATTCCTACTTCGTTCCTGCAAAGTCACCTTGCAAACTCGGAACCCAGCATGCTTTCTCTAATATCAAAGTTAGACAAAGACAGGGCTGAAGTTAGCTTTTCCTGAAGCCGACAAGAGTCCTACCTTGTCCACCCCTGCCAAAGCCCAATGTTCCCAAGGACTATTCTCATTAACACCCTGTGATGCTGACTTCAGCTGCTCACTGCTGTCGCTGTTAGAACGGTAAGGCTGTTACAGCAGAGTCTTGATAACTAGAGTCCTGAGAGAATTCTACCATGCATCCACACAGCAAATGCTCACTTAGTACCCGCCATGGGTTCTATAGCCTCCCGGGAATTGAGAATGCTAAGAAAGAACAATACAGCCCCCAACTCTCACGTAGCTCTCGGCTCCTCAGGGCAGACATGCAAACACATCACCTCAAAGTAGCACACAAAACTCTAAGGCTGGAGAAGACATAGGGGCAACTTGAGCCCAGCCAAAAAGGAGTCCGGAAAAAGGTTCCTGGAGGTGGTGAAACCAGTCCCATACCACAGTGAAGGTAAATAGCTAGGAGGAAGCAGGGAATGGGCCTTTAAGGCCTAGGAAGCAAGGTGCAAGAGATGATTGATTTCCACATTTCTTGTATTTTATCTTTAGGACAGAGGAGCGAAAGATAAAATACTTCACAGGCCTGGTTAATTTACAAAAGAAAGAGAGCACACTGGACTGTGAGCTCATGGTCAACTTAATTTCTTGGTCCCCTCCTGCCATTAGCCACAGGCCAACACAGGATAATGGATGCTTTAAAGTCTGAATTTTAAGCCCTGGCAAAATCCTGAATCATCAATAAAGATTCAGCTGTGTTCCTTGCCCAGGCTCCTCCTGAGCTCGAGGAAGGATGTAAAATGCATCCACTTACTAAGCTTGCTTAAGTAATAGGAGCTCAAATCCAGCCCAAGAGGAGCTTTCCCTATAAAGCATCCCATTTATCAGAAGCTACAAATTCTAGCACCAACCCAGCCCACCTCACCTTTTCCTAACACTGTGGCTCCTGGGTTCTACAGATCCTGTTAGGATTTCCTACCTGAGCTAGAAAAACAGATTACAAACAGCCTTGTGTTACCAATGGGCAACGAGCACCCAGCAATGCTCAGCAAAATACCCCAAGTCAGAATTGGGATCTGGGCTCAGCAACAAAACCAGATGTGAGGTTTAGAAACATTAGCCCTGCATTCCTTGCCAACTAATTTTATCTCTTGTAGTTGTCGAATTTTCATCCTTAAAACGTAAATTATGATCATCAGGTGATTATGATCATGTGAGAATTAAGCAAAATTTGTATATATCTGATACTTCTGTGGTCTTAGGTTTTCCTCGGTCCTCTCTGGGAACTGAGGCTATAGACTTGGCACTTACAAATCTGTTTCTCAGATATGAGCAATTCTACAATAATAACATGGTAACAAAATAACACTGTATCTACAATAGGCTTTAGTAAACTGGGCAAGGCAAGGCTGTAGGTGCCAGCTCTGAAAGGTGGGAGGAGAAGAAAGAAGGAACGGCAAGCTTCAATGGAACCCCAGGTTCCAAAGCCATCAAATTCACACGGAACACATCCTTATGCAAAAGGACATGAGATCTGCACTCAGATCATTTGGTGGACCCTTTAAAACTGCACATACGCTATCATTTTATTTCATTTCAACTTGAACACAGATGCTAGAGACCAAGGGATGAACACAAGTTTAATCTTACTTCACCATGAAAGAACTACGAAGGTTAAGCTTTGGGTCAGACACTTCCCAACACCTGCAAATACACAGGGATCAAAGACTTGACCAACCCAAATCCAAGTCCCTGGCAAAGTGCTTCCTCCTTCTTCCAGCTGCTTCCTGAGTTTTCAGGGATGCATTCTCTTCAAGGCTTTTGTAACCTGGAAGAAACCTGTTGCACAAATCTGAGGTTCTGAGTGGACGCCCCCACCTGGTGGCCAAATCAGGGAAAGCTCTTCCAACCTTCAAAGACAGGTACTTAACAAACAGAAGACATTCCCTGACCTCTTGCCCTCTTTGTCAATCAAGGGCCAACTGGAGAGAAACCAATTGCCTAAAATAGGAAGGGTCTAGGGTCAAGGTCACAGCCAACTTCCTGCCCAAACCCTGACAGCCATACAGCTCCTAAGCCAAAGCCAGGAAGCAGCTGGTAGCAAGAAGCGCCCTGTCACATCCCAGGTGTTCTGACAGTCAGAATTCCAGCCTTAGGTGGGGAATTCCCTCTGCTAGGATCCTCTCTTCCTTTTAAAATATGAGTGTATTTTCCAGCCCCGAATCGATACACCTGGAGTTCCATTTTCCTTCTGGCTGGCATTTACCTCCTCGCTAGCATGAAGATTATTTCTAGAGGAGTCCCTGGGGACAAACTTCCCACCAGTACTCTCAGGTGCCCAATGCCATAGTCCAACCAAGCTGATAGATGGGCAACAGTTGAAGCTACCAAGATAGCAGAACCTAAACTCTGGGAGGTTGAACCCCGAAACCATAGGGATGTTCCAGCCTTAATAACCTCACCCCACCTCTGGCTCTACTATACCTCAACCCCTTGGACTAAGGTTGGAAATCCCGCCCCTCTCCTATTCATTTTCCTAACAGAACACAAAGACCTGCATTTTGGCCTGTCCAAGCCCCCAGTTAGAGCAAAACCAAGTCCTTTTTGACATCAGCATGGAGCCCTAGGAAGAGTAGCACACTCAAGGTAACACGAGCATACACACACACACACACACACACACACACACACACACACACACACACACCACTATGGGCAGTGTGCACACTACCTCTCTCTGGGATGTATCATCTGAATTGAGTGGCTATCACAAGGGAAGCAAGCTAGCCACCCCAAGAAGAAATGGTGCTTATGGGAGGACCGTTTTTGTCCTACTCAACTGCTACATTCAGTAGAAAAAATTTACCTAATTCTTTTAAGCTTCTGTGACAACATCCCAGAAGGTACCATAAACGCGCACCCGCGCGCACTCGCCAGTCCAAATCTCGAAGTCAGCTCGGGAACCACGTTTGGTTCATTTAAACCCTGGTGTGAAGGAGCTGCTCTCAGTCACACAGCAGAAAACCATGGGCTAAAGCCAGACTGATACTCCCGCCCCGCCCCAGCCCACCTCCAACCCAAGCCAGAGAGCGCTTCTGAGTGGCCAAAACCACAGACACTTCCTCACCTCCAGGCCTGGCCCCGAACCCTAAAGTGCACGGCCGCCAAAGGGCGCCCCGAGCGGCCGGGTACTCACACAAGCGCGTGGTAGAGCAGCGCCCAGCCCCGCGGTCTCTCCAGGGCGTCGTAGATCAAAGTTTGGATGCGCCTGTACTTGGCGTTGTTCCTCTTGACTGGGCGGCTCAAGGGGGTCTTGGCCAGGAGCCCGATGCCCTGCGGGGTCCTCCGCTGCCCCTCTTCGCGGCCACCGCCCTCCAGCAGCAGGGTCCCGTCTTTGTCGGCCCCGGCCCCAAGCGCCAAGGTGACTTGATCCACATCTCCTGGCGCCAGCCCCACTTTCCGCTCCTCGTCGCCGGCCACCGCCGCGTCCCCTCCGGCGGGGTTAGCTGCCCCGCCGCCTCCGCCGCCCCCTTCGCCGCCGCCGCCTCCGGCCGCCCCCGCCGCCCTGCGAGCCTTGAGCCCCATCTGCCTCGCCCCCACCGGGCGCTTCGCCTTCTCCGCTGCTGCTCTGGGAAGAAGGGGCGCTTGAGGTGCGTGGACGAGGCGGCGGCAGCGGCTGCAAACCCGGGAACTCCAATGCCATGATCCGCGCGCCCCTCCCCGCCCACCCCCCCAAAAGCAGGCAAAGGCGGGCCTCCCGGGGGGCAGGGGAGGTCGGGTAGGGAGTCAAGGGGTCACATCCCGAGCGGGTC